GGGGCACCGGACCCGGGGCTTCGGGAGCAACGGCGGAGATGGGGAGGGGGACGGCGACTACTGCTGCCGCCCTCTGCCTTCACTGCTGCCTGAGGCAGCTGCGCCGCTGTGCCTAATGACGGCAAAGTTCAGTCCACTCCATGCCCCCTCTGCAGGGTTTTGGGTCTCAGCGTCGGTGCACCGGGCCTTGCAGGGCAACTGCCCCACTTCCCTTGCCCTCCTTCTGGCCGATGTCAGCCTCTGTGCCCTCCTGGGTATCTGAGGGGACATTGCAAAGGCTGTGAATCTACAGGCTTTATAGATATTTGAAGGAGAGCAACCCTCAAGAGGGGTGGGGAAACTGGGTCTCTCCCTCCAGATTTGCCGGACACCCACCAGCCCCTCAGGATGGCCCATGATGAGGCATGCTTGGGTTGCAGCAGTGGCACCCATTGGGCAGCGAGCAGTCAAACTCAAGTAAGGAAATGTGGAGACAAGTTTACTCAGTTGACACCTGAGTCTCTGGAACTCCTGGCTGCTGCGTCTTCTCCGCAGTACTGCCCTCCTTGCTTTCTTGTGGGTCAGTAGATTCCTTCAGCACAGAGTGGTAAACAGAGTTTGTGACAGGCATATCTGGAAGTCAGGAAAAGTATCTGCTATTAGTAAGCATGCCAATAATGTTTGTGTTTTTTTTTTTAATTTGCAGGGTCTTTGGGCACCTGAGCTGGAGTGAAGAGAACCATCAAAATGGAGTGGTGTATGTAGAGAGCAGGCCAGGTGATAGAAGTCTGAATGGCAGGTGAGTCCCTTGTAGCAGATGGTGTCCCCTGTCTCCCAACCGGGCTGGCCCTGCAGCATGGTGGAGCGGAGTGAGGACTTCTGGAGGTGGGTGGATGGTACCTCATGAGGGATGAATGCCATGAACTCTTGCGACAAAGGCAGACTCATCCCCCGGAGGGAATGGGCATTGGCCAAGTTGTTTTATCTCACAAGAAGGGCTGTATTGACTCCGGTTGAGGTCTGCCTGGTCTATCATTCTCTTTCCACTGCAGCCCACCCAGAGCTGTGAGAGATCTTAGAACGGCCTGGGTGAAATCTCCTTAGATGGTTTTGTTCTCTGAGTGCTGTGATTGATTACTTGCATTTTTATGGCAAGATTGATACTGCTGCTCTGAGTGGCATATAAAACAATAAATAAAATGGATGTTAAGATATGGGAATACAATGAAAAAAGAAATCAGAATCAATAAGTTTCATCAGTGTGGCTTGTGAAAGTTTGCCTTGAAATGCACTTTTTTTAGGGCCAGGTGCCATTTGCATTTCACTGCCTACCACACCCAAAGACAGTTGCTGCAGCCCTCAATAAACTTTCTTGAGTCTCTCACAGGCCTCAAGATTCTTTGTTATTTCTACTGAGGCTGATGGCTCTTGAGAAATTGGGCTGAAGCAGGCTTGCATGTGGCTTCCTGGAATGAAAGACTAGAATATTGTGAAGGATGTTTGAGTGGGGTGGGGTAGATAGTGGGCTGGAAAGCAAGGAGCTACCATTCTGACACTTAGCCTGTACTTCTGTTTCTCCTTCTGACCTCTCTTTAAGCTGTTGTGGAATTCTGGACAATCCTTGGTGCATCAGTTGGGATGGGCTGTATAGCCCAGGAGAACTTAGTCAGGTGTCAGTGCCTTGGGCTTTCAGTGGTCATTGAACTCACCATGGGTTTTGATGTTGAGGTCCTTTTAGAAGGGGCAAGTGAGGGTAGAAAAGCAGAGGATCTGCTACCAAGGGATCTCTGGCCACTGAGTGCTGTGGATAAAGGGGATGGTGATGGTGACAGAGCCTGCTGTGTTCTGGGAGGAAGGGGTCTGAGTCTTCTGAGTGCGAAGATGCATTTCAGCATGTTTGAAAGATATTAAACTGCAGCTCAAAGTACAGTATGTTGCACAGAACATGATGAGAGCTCATTTTAAATTATTTTTAAAGAATGTTTCTATCTTTCCTGTCCTCTGTTTTCCTTACTACCAACCAGCCTGATGAACATTTCTGAAGACCTTGAGAGCCTGTCCGTTTTCTGTGGCTGGTTGCTGCTTGCCTTTGGATGTTTGGATTAGGCTTGTTGTTCTGTGCTGTCACAGATGATCCTGTGAACTGATGGCCTAAAGGTCTTATAGTTTGCAGGCCTGCTTACATTTTGCAAACTGAAAACTGTGGTTTTCTTTACTGAGTCATTCCAGCTCATGTCATGTCTTCCTCTTTTCCTCTTCCACTTCCCTGCCTTAATTCTGCCGCTCACCCTGCCCAATGAATCTTGTCCTCTTGTCATCTTCAAAGAAGGAGAGCCTCAGTTTAGCTATTTTAGCTGCTAACCCCTCATCTAGATCCCCTCCATGTGTCTTTCTGTCGGTCCAGGAAATCTATTCAGTTCTCTTCTGTTATCACATTTTAAATAAGTTGAGTTTTTTCCCTGGCAGCTTTCTTCATTGTACAGCTTCCAGGGTGAGTTTTGGGATGTTGCATTTGGCCACAGAGCCAGACAGATCCCTCAAGGCTGGGGCTACTGGAAAAGAAGTGGGGGCCTCTCCCCCTCCAAAAAGGAAGGGGGGCAGTGCTTTGGAAGTCCTGCGAGGGGATGGGAGCCGTTCGGGAGCAATCACGGGAGGGGGGCGGCCAGAGCGCAGTTCCCGATCGAGTGGCCCCGCGCAGCGCTGCTGGCAGAGCCCAGTGGCCCGAGCGGGAGCGGAGGGACCGGAGCCTCGGGTGGGGCTTGCGGGGGGA